ATGAAGTGACACCATCTTTTACATAAAGAATTCAATGTCTTATTGAAGTATACAGAGGGGTTTTACAATCATAAAAATAACTGGGGCAGAAACTATTATAATGTGTCATTTCACTGAATCAGGATTAAAACGAGATGGATAAGATCACTGTTGCACACTTTTTAAACCAGTGATTTACATCCTTGTGTACATGAAAAAACAAAACAAAATGACAACAACAACAACAAACCCAAAACAAAAAGCATTGCTTGCAATAAATACCCAAGACTGATACTTACTTGGTGGTGGTTTTGGGTGATAGACAGACCTATTCAAGAAATGTAAATCACAAAATAAAGTGAGGGTAAAAGAAAAAAAAACCTTCTGGGATGCCAATTAAAGATTAAATTGTTAGAAGTAGTGGAAGGATAGATGGTCTAAATGAAAATTAGACAGCGAAGTATACCATTGTGAATAATTGGTGTTCCTATGTGAGTAAATGATATAAATGAAATGGAAGTAGTACTCAAATAGAGGGAAAAAGCACACATAATTGATGGAATTCTAAATGCAAATGTAGAAGTGTATTACTCAAAAACAACAACAACAAAAACAAACCACACCATAAATTCTTTTCATACAACATTACCACTGAGTTCAGTTCCTAGCACCCCTAGTGGTGGCACAAAGCTGCCTGATGCTTCAGATCCAGGGTATGGAACGCCCCTTTTTGCCCTCCACTGTGGTTGGTATGTAAAATGAATTTTAAAAAATGGGAAAAAAGGAAACAGAAAATGAGATTGAGCATTGAAAAAACTGGTGAATTAGCAAATGGTGTTCAGTTTGTAGTTACAATTTGAAAAACAATGTCCTTCAAAATTTTTACATTATCATACAGTTGCAGGAGTTATAGATTAAAGAAATCAATGGAAGAACCAGACTTATTAAAAATGAATCTATTTTGTTGAAGGAAGAAAAATGACTGTAGCCTGGTCATTCAGAAGGCTGGAGTGCATGATGTCTGACAGCCTAGCAATCTTATTGCTGTCCTATGGAACCAGCAGCCTTCCTGGATGTTCCCCAATATCCTGGTAATTATTTAGACCCTTATCCTGAGCTTAGTCTCTCAATGAACAGAAACCATCCTTATGAAAGCCATCCCTCCTCCATCAATAAAATCTACCCTTCTGCTCATCACAAATCCTTCCTCCTTATGCCCTTTGTTACTTTGCAAGGGTGTTTTGATAAACCTATGTCTACAGGTTTGTTGTGATGATTATCACATGGAAACATCCTTAAATATGTAAGAGAAATAAACTATGAAGTCAAATTATGTAGTTTTGAACCAACCCACCTCCAAAATAAAGAAAGCTTAGTTCAGCACTCTTGGATATTTTCCGTAGCCAGTTTGGCTTATACTGCATAGTCTGATTACCAAAAATGGCTTGTGCACGTGTACAACTTAAAAACTTCTCTCTATGTTAATAAAATTTCCCTTTCCCCCAATAAATAAATAATAAAATAAATATAAAAACAGCAGAATACACAAAGTTACAACATAACAAAATAACATAAGAAAGCATATGGCAAATCAAGTCATATAGGAAAAGAAGTATATCTAATAAAAATGTCTATGTAAATCAAGAGAAGCACTTTCTTTTGGGCGTTAAGGAACTGAACCTAGTTATATCCCCAGATCCAAAACCATTGCTTACAAGAAGAGAAAGGTAAGCACATAGAATTGAAAATTTAAATCAGTCTACAATTCTCAGTAAGTACACATAGACAAGAATAAGTCAGAAAGCTAAATGAAAACCTGAATACACAGCATATTAATAAAAGTTAAAGAAGATTTCAATTATTTTCCTCAAGATAAAAGACACAACAAAAAGTAGAATGTTGTATCAATTATACTTCAGCATAATGCTTGTGCATGATTTCTTTACAATGACTATGAGGTCAATGTCACCCTTCAAAATTCATACAATGAAAAGCCAATCCCAAACAGGATGGTGTTAAGCGGTAGACCCTTTGGGAGGTGATTGAGCCATGCAAATGGGTGTCTTTGAAGGGATTAATGCCCTTGGATAGAACTCAGTCTGCAAGATGGGAAATTTAAGATCCATACCAGAACCTGACCATGACAGAATCTTCACCTCTGTGTCCTGCCTCTGAAGTTGGAACTATATCTGTTTGTTTAAGACACACAGTCTAGGGTATTTTGTGATAGAGCAAGACCAAAGGCTGTTAAATTGCACAGATAAACCAAGACATTTAAGAAAGAGTATTTGACAGGCAATAAAAATTATAACACAAAATTAGCTAAAAAGCTTAAGATATTTTCCATTGGTCATTGGCCAAAACCTAACCAAACCAAACCAAACCAAACAAACATAAGACACACAATAAGCATGAACGACAACTGTGCTTGTAAGAACCCAACCCCATATCAGCAATACTTCTTGGCTTCATGTGTGCAGCTACCCAGACCACACTCAAACATACAGTTCCAGTTGGCTTGAATGGTTCTTAGGTGTTATTAGTTTACTAAAAAAAAAAAAAAAGAAAAGCAAAAACAAAACTCCCATGAGGTTGTAAAGCACAGCCAGAGTAGAGTACTAATGAAGTATTTACAGACTCTAATAGTGATTTTAATAAAGTTAATATCACACTCTATATTAAACTCTGTATCCTACAGAGAAAGCCCTTTAAACAGCATCTACAAATTATTCATAAAAATTGCTCATACATAGTCACAATGAATACTCAGTAAAACCTGTAATATAAAAAAGTGGTATGGTCTTAAAGACTAATAACCATATGATGAACTGATATTATAAATAAAACAATAAGTATGTTTTAACCACTAAACCATAAGCAAAACTCCAAACTTAAGCCTCATATTTAGAAAACAGAAAAGTGATTAATTATACTGGTTTTAATTACTGTTATAATTACTATGTGTATATATAAGACGCATGGCTGGAAGTTTCCTCAGAGAAAAATTAATACTATTCAATTATTCCATAACTAAGTGAGTCTATAGCTATACCACCCTGAACTCTCCCAATTTAATCATTACTAAGTAAAACAGAGGTTAGAGAAGAAAGAATTAAGCACTTGTTTTGTGATTTAGTCATTCCTTACAGTGGAAGGATACACCCAGGAGGGAAATGTGGTGCCCTGGTTAAACTGTTTGTCAACTAGATTTTTTAATAAATAGATTAGGGGCAGGAAGGTGCTTTAGTGGGTAAATATGCTTTCCAGTAAGCCTAATGCCCAAGTTTAATCTCAGAACTCACTTGGGAATAAGAAATTCAACTCTTGCAAGCTATCTTCTGACCTTCACCATTGTGCCTTGGTGCCTGCATACCCATCCTCTCCCCACACACTCTTATACACAAATAAATTAATGCAATAAAATGAAAAAAGCAGAATATAATTTCCATGGAATATATACTTTTATCTTATTAACTATTTGAAATTTTTATAAATGCATCAATTACTTTGATCATATTAACTATCTCTTCTTCCCCTAATTACTTGAAGATCCAGATTACACTTCAACCCCATCTCAACTTCATATTCTCTTTTCTTTCCTTAAGCCATTGAGTCTAATTTCTGATCTCCATAAACTGATAGATATATAGTTATTTAACAGCATGTGATCAGCATACCACAGGATAAAAGCTTAAGGAAGACATTGTTTACCTCCAATACTGCCCAGCCTCTGGCTTTTACAGTCTTTCCAATGCTGCTTCCATGATATTCACTCATCCTTGGTGGGGGTGGGGAGATGGTGGGGAGGGGTAAGGGGAAAATAATGTATATTTGTCCTATTTGTGAATGAGCACTCCACACTCAGACTCCATACTTGGACCACTGTGAGGTTCTGTATTAACCACCAAGCACTACAAAAAGATTCTTCTCTGATGAGGTCTGAGAGTTATACCAACATGTGCATAGAGATGGTGACTTCAGAGAGCAGTTAAATATTATATCAATTCAGCAAAATAATACTAGTAAGTATGAGATTTTCAACCATGGGTTTTTGGCTATGTTTATAGTACTAGGCATGCATTTATTTCCATAGACTAGGTCTTAGATACAATTTTCAAGTGGGTGTTTACCCCCAAACATTTGTGCCACTATTTCACCTATAGGCATATGTTGCCATGTAGGTTGTTATGGTAATTTATAGGACTCACAATTGGGTAGAACTATTAGTAACATTTGACCTTCAGAACCATGCATACTGCCTTTGATACTATAAAAGTCAGCCAGCAAAAAAGAATCTTTCTGGTCAGTACCGACTTCATTTCTCCCAGTCTTGAAACCAATATGTTTATGGCCTTCAGCAACAGGGTCTTGCTATCAAGTTCTACTGTAAAAAAGAGGCATGGTGATGGTCTAATTTGTTTTGGAGGGCTCTTGCACAAATCTGACCAATAGCTTGCTAAGAATATTTTATACTTGTCATTTTTTTCAGCCTATAGCTTCTATGAAAAAAAGTATTATTCCCCAGGATAGGGCAACTCCAATCAAATATTTTATATAAATACAGTGTGTGTGTGTGTGTGTGTGTGTGTGTGTGTGTGTGTGTGAGTTTTGGAAGATTATAAAATAGTAGAGACCATATCTATAGGAAGCCCTTAAAAAATATCATTAAACCCCTTGGTGGTGGTGGTGGTGATGGTAGTAGTGATGGTGGTGGTGGTGGTGGTGGCATTAGGGACAGTACACACTTTTTTATCAGGAGGCAGGGGTAGGTGGATCTCTGTGAGTTTAAAGCCAACCTGGTCTGCAGAACAAATTCCAGTACATCTAAGGCTGTTACACAATGAAACCCTGTCTTGAAAAAATCCAATAAACCATTAAATAGAAAACATCACTAAAGAGCTATTATATTAATTTATTAAAATGCATTAGCATGCACAACTTTTGTGAGAAAATAAAATCTATCCCTTTTACTTTTCAAACACACATTTGTTTGCAACATGCATAACAAAGAGAAGCTTCTCAAGATTGTACTTTCAGGAACCATTTCTATAGTTCATTGCTAGAGAAGTTTCTCATGACTGTATAGAGCACCCGAGACCATGGGGACTGGACATAGCATTATCTTCTGAGCATGAAGCCAACTCTAGGTGCTGATTTTCTGCAGCTGCTTCTTGCCACTGATGGCTGTTCTTCTCTCCCTTTGGGAGAGGAAGGTAATGCAGTTTGAGTGGATTTTGGTCTGTCTATTGTGGTTACTAAAGCCACAAACTTTTGTCAGTTTTGTTCAAAATCATCAGAATATAATCATGGCAATCAAAAAAAAAAAAAATAAAGAAATAAAGAAAGGAAAGAAAGAGAAAGGAAAGTGAATATCTTTGTTCATTGCAAGAAGTGAAAAAGTAGGATGGACTATAGGTACCAAAGACAGAGATGAAGAATGCAGAGATGTTGATTAAATAACTCTTATCTTATTATACTTTCCACTTCCTCAAAGAGGTGGTCCCAGATAATTCCTTACATTAGTACATTCCAAGCCACAGAATTCCAACTCTTAATCAATGTCATATTTAAAATAATAGAACTCAGAATTTAAATTTTAGTGTTTTACTTACTGATATAAAATATCTAAGAATTATGAACAACAAAAGAAAATGGCTACACTACTTCAAATTATTGAGCAAAATTAATTATAACACATAACAAGAATTTCTTAGAAAATCAACAAAATAGGAGATGTAGAAGTGTGCTGTAATACTGTAAAATATGATTGCATATAAATTTTGTTTGAAAAATGTAAGCCCATTAAAGATATGTAACAATAACTATAGAAAATAAATGAAAAATGTCTTATCTTAAAATGAGATAATAGTAAATTATTTAAATATCGATGAAGAACAACCATGTAGCCACATAAAAAAATTAAAGGCTTGTCTTACTTTTTATTTTATAACAAATTATTATGAATGTATTAAACATGACTACTTAATAATGAAAATTTGGAAGCTAGAAGAAATGGAGGCTTATATACAATTCTCAAGAAGAATATTTCCATGACATCAAAGACAAAGAATAATAAGATAAATATTAATAAATATGACTATGACAGTATTTATAGAACCAATATAGCATTAAGAAGAAACTGGTGAGTTTTTACTTTGATTTATAATGGAGAAATAAAGACTAGAATTTTCTTACTATTAAATTTAAAAATTAAGCACATATATTAATATTTTCCTGACCTGGGAAATCAGGCTACACTGGAAAGTTATTTCTGTGGATTGCAAAGAATTTCAAAGCTGCAGATCAGGGAAGGAGAATGACAACCTCCTAGTGTTTTACCTAGGTTGAGGCAGGTAAGTCATACTTGAAGAGCATGAAGCAGCCTCTCAGAGCAGGGGAGGGGAGAAGAGAGTTGCCCCTTTGAGGAGTCCTGGAGACATAAAATAGTTTCCCTTGGATGCCTAGAAAATAGAGTTAACAACCTAAAAGTCTCTGGTGGACTGAGAAACTCCTGACAGGGAAATAGACATGCTAATAAAACCCCAGGGATCTCCTAGTAGGAAGGTCCATATATCAACCTCCAGTGGTGTCTACCACTGGACTGCAGGTGGAATCTTCCATCCTCAAAGTTTCAACCCTTTTTCTTACTGTAGAACCTGAAGCCCCGCCTGTGTCAAGTGCCCTGTCTGCAATAGTGTGTCACTCTTGTGTTGTTCTGATAAAGGAGAAATTCTGATTTGAAGATGCCTGTCTCCTTTCCATTATTTCCAAGACAACTCATTTCCAATCTAATATGGAGATGATGTAAGGTCCATGAAGATGCATTGAAATGAAGAAAGTACCAGCAACTAGTAATAGCAGGAGACTTCCTTAAGTACACATAGACCTGGGACTAGTTACCACTAAAAGTTACAGTGAAAAAAAAAATCCCACCAGTGGTGAGAGTTTCAGGCATCATTTGGCTTTAAATAGAATGCTAGAGGGATTCAAACATTTCCGAATACTTTAACTAAGAACCAGAGCAAAGGTAAACATGTAGGAATTAAGGTTTTCGTTGTTGTTGTTGCTGTTTTGGTTATACTAAAGGAAAAGAAATTGCTGTAAATTTTATATGAGCAAATTTAAATACTGCTTCTCCATTCTCAAAATGGTTCTTTGGAACATTCATCTTACCTCCAATATTGGCTTCCTTGTGTGACAAGTGCAAAGACATGAATGAAATAGGAGGAAGTTGATGCCAGCATTGTGGCTCCCCACAAACTGGAGACATAGCAGTGTACTCTTTTCATGTGCTAACAGATATTTTCAAGAACTGAATTTCAAAGGACTTCATTGAATTTGAACCAAGTGCTTGTTGTACTTATGGTTTCAGCTTGGCTCAAACTCCCCAGAAATTAAGTAATTACTAGTATTTTCTGTGGCTTCCAGGGCATAGTGAGTGCGGAATATTGGTGTGGACACCACACCAAGTTTGTATTGTAAGAGGCTTTTCCCTAACACCTAATAATGGCAATTTTATTCCCTGCCAACTGACACAAATGCCAATGAAAGTCGTGAATTTCTGATACTAACAATATAATATAAGATCAAAATAACTAGTCTTATAGCCAACATTGGCCAACTAACATCACTGGGCAGAGAAACTCTGAATGATACTCTTAGGGAAGCCATGTTCAATGACCATAAAGGAAAAACAATGCAGATGTTACATCATTGCCTAAAAAAAATTCATTAGATTAAGGCATATATAATGGACCCTAATATTTTAAGTAGTGGCATTCAATAGTTACTTTATTTTCTTTTTCAAAATTTATATACTCATTTCTCATTCAATACATCCCAACTAAAGCCACCCCTTCTTCCACTCCTCCCAGTTTCCCCCAGACCTCTCCTTCCCCCCAATTCATTGCTCCTATTTCTCTTATTAAGTGAACACACAGCATAACAAGAAGCAATAAGACTAGGCACATACTCTCATATCAAGGCTTGGAGAGATAAGCCAGTAGGAAGAAAAGGGTCCCAAGGTCCCAAGAGTAGGAAAAAGTTCATTAGAGACACCACCGACTCCCACTTTTAGGAATTCCACAAAAATCCCAAGATAAACAACTACAATGTATAAGCAGAGGACCATACAGCAGAACTATGCTACATGATTGCCACTTTAGTCTCCATAAGCCCCTATGAGCCCTGCGTAGTTGGTTCTGTGGGCCAAGATCTCCTGGTGTCCTTGCCCCCTCTGGGTCCGGGTAGATGGAACTAGAAAAAAAATCATCCTGAGTGAGGCAATTCAGCCCCAGAAACACAAAGATTATATGTACTCACTTATAAGTGGATATCAGCCATTACATAATTTATTATTTATTTATTTGTTTTTTTTGTTTAATTATTTGTCTTTGGTTTTTCGAGACAGGGTTTCTCTGTATTGATTTGGATCCTGTCTTAGAACTAGCTCTGTGACCAGACTGGACTCAAACTCACAGAGATCTGCCTGACTCTGCCTCCTGAGTGTTGGGATGCAAGGCATGGGCCACCAATGCCTGGCTACATAATTTATTATTAATAATAATTTTCCAGTTGTTACATCAACCAAAGGCCTGTAGTGATATATTGTTTATGATTTAATAAAGCCACTGGAGATCAAAATGCAGTGCTGGCCACAGTCATGGAGCCAGGAAGTAGTGATACACATCTTTAATCCACAGCCATATTAGAATAGAAGCTAGGTGGTGGTGGCACACAGCTGTAGTTCAGAACTCAGGGTACAGAATCAGATGGATATCTGTGAGTTCAAGGCCACCCTGGACTCCATGAGAATAATTAATTTAAAGAGTAACAGAGCTCATGCCTTTATTTTCAGCACTAGGGATGTGGAGACATGAGTGATAGGACTGGGAAGAGAAAAGACTATAAGAAGGAGACTGGAACTCAGAACATTTACCTCAGAGGATTTGTGGAGACAGGATTGCCATTTCAGCTTGATAGAGGTAAGAGATACTGGCTTGGCATTCTTAATATTTATTTCAATTACTGAAAATTGAACACTGCCCAGTTGTACACTACTGAGTCTTTTAGTTAATTTTCAAAAGTGCTTATGATCAAGAAAAATTACTCTAAACAAAATCATACATGAATAAGCAATAAATAAGCTTTAGTTTCCTCAGATGTCATGGTTATTCAGCCAGTGGCAATCAATGTTGACTTTAATGCTTGTGTTATCAATGTTTTTTCAGGGTTCATTCTGGATACCAAGTTTATGGAACAGATTGTTTTGAAATATATGGGATACTCATTTTGTCTTTGCAAAGAGAAAGGGTCACAGATTATCTGGTCCTCAGAGCACTTTGACTTACAATTCTTTGCTCTCCTTTCTGATCACATCATTTAGTGCTCGTCATCAATGAAGCTATGAGCACAACACAGACTCAAGGCTTTGTCTTATTATAGTTAAAAATCAGCAATGATATTCTTCTTTTCCCCCCAAGAAACATTCTTGCCACAAAAGAAGGGTTTTATAGGAAAAGACAGTCATTAATTGCTTCCTATCACCCCTTCTCGGTAACAACAAAAAGAGAAAGAACACAGAACAAAGCAGACATAAAACCTCTCACACAAAATGAGATTAGATTCATCAACTAGTGTGTCTTCCTCTTGTTTCCAATAAAAGTATTTCCCTGCCCAAAGCTTATTAAGAAATGATCTCCAGGATGATATATCTCCTAATTACTCCATGTCAGACTCAGAATGTGGTTGTTCCCTGGCATGATGCTAGGGAAATTGAAAGATAAAATTAAAAGAAAGCTAGGAGGAAAATTAATATTTCTCTTTCAGGTTATTCATAAAATCCTTGCTTCTTAGAAGAGTGATTTAAAAAAAAAACTAGAGTGTTATTTCAAAGAATAGGAATTCAATATCAACCTTTATTAAGTGTCTTAGAAGTAACAAAGAGGAAAATAATTCATGACATACAATGAGTGATTTGTCTTGGGAAGTGACTCAGCCAGTCATTTAATGGAAGCTGGAAAGAGAGAGACTCCAATTGGCCAACTCTAAAATGACAAAGCCTTGGACCTCAACATGTGAAACAACCAAATGCTGTTCAAATCATGTCCCTACAAAACAGCTTCAGAGTCAGAATCCGCCTATTCAACTCAAGAAAAACCTGTGACCAGAAGATTCACACTATGTGACAATGTTATGGTACTTGGTTCACATGCTGGGTTATTACACTGTGT